TTCTTTGGTTTGTTTTAACAGATCATCATGTCAATGTATTGCAAATGTACAACATTCCGTTGTAAAGTTAAGAAAGAGTACAATCAGAGATATTGTGATTGTTGGCAATATGTAACAAAAACGATGTACAGTATTTAAATATCGATTGACTGACTACTAACTTATAACTGACAATCAGTCAATAATCATCGTCAGGATCAATCAAGAAGGAAGAAAGGAAACTTATTGAAATACTTTGTACTACTGAGTATCCTATTATTGTACCAACGAATCATTATTAAATGAATAGAGATTTTGAATCATAACGATAAAGAAACTTCAATATTCATTGGATTTGTTTTAACTTAACACAAGTTGAAGAAACAACGAATTGTATCACAAGGCAAACCTTCACTTGGAATTCTCAAAGCCAAACGAGAAAAGAAAGAATAAGAAAACATTATGTCGAGAAATGATGACAGACATGAGAAGAATGAACAAAAATTGGATAAAACTAGAAAAAAATGACGAGGACACAGTGGGTTAGAGAATGCTGGTTGGCGGCCTATGCTCCATTGGGGTAACAGGCATAAGTATGTAAGTAATCTACACATATAATAGGATGAATTCATTTTGTTTCATGTGTTTTTTTCATTTCTTCCAAGCGTTAATATGATTTAAATGCTTTAATTTTTTATTGCATTATTTATGTTAAATATGACAGGAAGACCTCTATATCTGAGGGAAGAATGGAATAAAATGGACAGGTTGAATGTAACCAGACGATTTAGACTTCGCAGATGACCTAGTCCTTCTATCCCGTACACATCAAAATGTAGGCCAAGACGAACAATGTAGCAGCACTCTCCTCATCACTATACCTCAACATATACAAGAGAAAAAGCAAGATCCTCAAATTCACCACAGAGAACACAAACCTTATCACACTTGATGGAGAAACTCTGGAGGAGGTGGAAACGTTCACATATCTGAGCAGTGCCACCATCGACAAGGAGGATGTGGTGCAGATATAAATGCGAGGATTGACAAAGAAAGGATACCATTCCTACAGTTGAACAACATATGGAACTCAAAACAACTGTCATCAAGCCAATATCAAAGTGATATTCTTCAATAGGAATGTCAACACAGTTAGTTCTATAGTATGGAGCTGAAACGTGGAGAGCTACTACAACCATCATCAAATAGGTACAAGTATTTCTAAACAATTGTCTACGTAAGATACTGAATATCCAATGACCGGATACCATCAGCAACAGCCTACTGTGGGATAGAACAAACGAGGTTCCATCTGAGGAGGAAATTAGGAAAACAGTTTGCAAGTCGATAGGATACAAACTGAGGAAATCATCAAACAGTATCATGAGGCAAACGCTAACTTGGAATCGTGAAGGGAAACGAAAAAGAGGAAGGCCAAAGAACATATTATGTTGGGAATTAGAAGGAGACATGAAAAGAATGAATAGCAACTGTAAAGCATTTTCCAGAATAGAATTGGATGAAGAATGTTAGTGAGCGGCCTATGCTCGTCCATGAAGGGTTAACAGACGTAAGTAAGTAATGCTAAATCTGAAACTAAAGTTAAGTATGGTAATTAGTTTTGGAATTTGTATTCATTGTTCAATTTTGTTAGGAAAAGATTATTATTATTATTAATGGCTTTATTCGATAGTATATAGAATACTCAGTACAAAGTATTTCAACAAGTTTCCATTTCTTTCTTCTTGATTGATCCTGACGGCAAATATTGAATGATCTTCAATCAGAAGTTAACAGTTTCAGGAATCGATATCTGGATCATGTATATTCTTTTCAATATATATTGCCAGCAACCATGATATCTCTAATTAAACTCTTTTATAGCTTGTACAGTCAAAAAGCGTGAACTTTTCACAAATGCACCTAAATAGATTATGTGACTAATAACCATAGTGATCAGTTGAAATAAACAAACGAAACAGATAATTAGTTGAAATATCTTTTAGTGGCCCATGGATCTGACTCCGATTAGATCGTATTGAATGTTTGTTATCGCCTATCCTCGTATATAATCATCGACTCAAATCGCGTTAGTCAATAACGGAATTTAATAATTCAAATAACGAGAATGAACTTTTGTGTACATAGACTTTGTATATAGAGCGAATGGAATAGAATAAAGCAAAACGACGCACAGTGGAGATGGCGGGTAAGCCAACGTCCATTTAATCAAGCGTTAATCAATAGTTATAGTTACACAAAAGTAGTTACAGGCATGTGATGAATAATGGGACAAGATATGTACGCACACATACGTGCTCATATAAAAACAATCAAGATTGATAAGCGAATAAGTAACAAGGTCAGAATGTGACTCAAGTAGAATGAATGAAATGATCTGTCCGAAACCTAGAATAAGATATATGAGCTTAATATAATAACCGACACTACAATCTAAATGACAAGAATAGGTAATCCAGATATTCAATCAGGTCACATTTTATGTAAATGTTAGCTATGGAGTTGAAATAATACAGTTACATTAGTATTGTTTTCTCTTCTTCTTGAAGTTAGATCACCATGGAAAACCTTGTGGAAGCACTAGAGAGCCGTTGGATGCCGGCTCAGTGATCTACAGGTTAATCGTCACTAGTAAGTATATTATTATTATTATTATTATTATTATTATTATTATTATTATTATCAGAAAGGGGATTTCGTGGAGGTTTCAATAGTGCTCACTAGTGAATGGTTTCAAGAGGTATTTCCTGGAGTTCTAATAATATGCCATGACCAATGCAATTTAACTGTATCTATTGTGAGATAGAAACTCTTTGAAGACAATGATAGATAGTAGCTCAATTTTTTAAAATTAAACTGTTATAACTTGTAACCGATGATTAATGTGCAGTGAATTATCGATCGGACCAATGACGTGTAAAGACGGTAAAACACGTGCGAGCAGCCTAGAGTCCTGGTTGGTCCTGCTTTCCGCCTAGCCCAGTCATTTAAGTTCAGAACGCCAATCAGCTTCTGCAATATGAATCATATCTCAAACATACTGAGTTTATATACCAATCAAACAGACCACAACGTACCAATATAATATGAAACAACATTTGTACAAGAATTAGCCAGATGTAGCTGTGAATGAGGGAGGTAGTAATTAATATACTGGGTATAACTCAAGAATGGTAAAACGTATAATAATAGTTCATAGGTTAAAATAAAGCTTATAATAAGAGGAATATGGATATGCATAGTTAAGTTATTTAATAATTATACAATGGAAATATACGTTTAGTATTGGTTCATCAATAGATCCCAAAAGTTACCATTCATTATTCTTGTCGGGACATAACATAAACATTAATACAATTGAATGCTAACTCAATCATCTAAACGTTTAGTGTTCATGTGTGAGATTAAAATTTATTGATTTTAAATCATGAATATGCACTGCTGAAGAGTCTTATACGAAGACGAAACAATCATCTCTACAATACTTCCCATTCTGATAATGATTTTCTTTTTGTTCAATTAATCCATTATTGTTATCTTAACTTAGTCTGAACTTTCAGACAGGCGTTTTTTGTTTGTTGTTGTTTATGACTCATAGTTTTAAAGGAAACAATGATTGTCCTGAAATTTTATTGAATCAATAAACAAATTTTTTTATAAGGGAAAATGATGAAATACGCCCAAGTTTTCCAGGTTTCCCGTCGGGTTTCTTTTTTTTTTTAGATTTTTTTCACTTTTTACCTAGAAACATAAACATTAACTAAAGATGGATAATGGCTAGCCGTGTAATATAGTTTGATGCACGTTTCGTCCTGTTTGGGACTTGCCAGCTGGATGTACCCGCATCTCAGGAGTTGACGTTCACTCCGGGATTCGAACTCAGTACCATTCGCTTCAAACGCCATCGCATTATCCACTTAGCTACTAAATCCTGATAGCCACTTGCTTGTGCAATGGGGTGAAGTTTAATTCACTTGGTATTGTTTTACTTGTAAATTAAGGCAATATCGATGCAATACGCACAGTATGCACATATGCCAATATGACTCTGATCAATTTCAGTCCTAAAACATCAATGAGAAGATTCAAGTAAAACAATACCAAGTGAAATAAACATTAACTGTATGTACTCCATTATACATAGGGTCAATAGGCGAGACTATTATTTATGGATGAACCAATCAGATATAAGAGGTTTTGGATTTTGGCGCGAAATTCAGTTATCCATTTTGCTAAATAGAGTTTTGACATTATAGCTGATGTCAGTTCGTGATGAAAAACACACCCTAAAATCTAATTCCTAACACTAACCATCAACTGTAAATCATAATTGTAATTCCTCAGTTAGTCAGTCAGTCAGTCAGCTACAGAGCTAACACGAAAATTACCCATAAAAAGATTGTATGTGACCGACCTCAAGCAGTTGTCCCTTGGGCACTGCGGTCACGTTATCAGGTCACTACAAACACCTCTAATCCAATTTCGTTTTCAAGTATCACCAGAAGAACCCTTTCACCATTTCTTAGGAATCCACCTGTAAATGAAAAAAAAAATGTGATGGGGCTAATTGAAATTTCAATATATATTCTTAAATAGTTTGCCAATTCATTTGGTATTTTTAAAGAAAAGACAAAAATGCATTTTGATCGAGTTTTGTTCTCTGAGCTGGATAGTTTGATCATGTTCATGGAGAAAATATAGTTGTTCTCGAGTAAAAGCCTGCCTTTTGACGAAATTCTGCTATTTTCGAACAACGAGAAGCGTATTATACTCATATGATTTTCAGATGGTGGAGAAGATTTGCTCACTATCAAACCATCCAGCTCAGAGAACAAAACTCCATCAAAATCATCCATCTGAGCTATAAATCTTCTCCACCACAAAAATGAATTCTCTGCTGACAGTGTTTAAAATAGTTATGAGTCAATTTATGACCAGACTATAATTGATGAAGTAACCAATTAGATATAAGATAACTGAACTTGGATTTGGCGCGAAATTCACTTACTACTACTACTACTACTACTACTACTACTACTACTACTACTACTACTACTACTACTACTACTACTACTACTACTACTACTACTACTACTACTACTACTACTACTACTACTACTACTACTACTACTACTACTACTACTACTACTACTACTACTACTACTACTACTACTACTACTACTACTACTACTACTACTACTACTACTACTACTACTACTACTACTACTACTACTACTACTACTACTACTACTACTACTACTACTACTACTACTACTACTACTACTACTACTACTACTACTACTACTACTACTACTACTACTACTACTACTACTACTACTACTACTACTACTACTACTACTACTACTACTACTACTACTACTACTACTACTACTACTACTACTACTACTACTACTACTACTACTACTACTACTACTACTACTACTACTACTACTACTACTACTACTACTACTACTACTACTACTACTACTACTACTACTACTACTACTACTACTACTACTACTACTACTACTACTACTACTACTACTACTACTACTACTACTACTACTACTACTACTACTACTACTACTACTACTACTACTACTACTACTACTACTACTACTACTACTACTACTACTACTACTACTACTACTACTACTACTACTACTACTACTACTACTACTACTACTACTACTACTACTACTACTACTACTACTACTACTACTACTACTACTACTACTACTACTACTACTACTACTACTACTACTACTACTACTACTACTACTACTACTACTACTACTACTACTACTACTACTACTACTACTACTACTACTACTACTACTACTACTACTACTACTACTACTACTACTACTACTACTACTACTACTACTACTACTACTACTACTACTACTACTACTACTACTACTACTACTACTACTACTACTACTACTACTACTACTACTACTACTACTACTACTACTACTACTACTACTACTACTACTACTACTACTACTACTACTACTACTACTACTACTACTACTACTACTACTACTACTACTACTACTACTACTACTACTACTACTACTACTACTACTACTACTACTACTACTACTACTACTACTACTACTACTACTACTACTACTACTACTACTACTACTACTACTACTACTACTACTACTACTACTACTACTACTACTACTACTACTACTACTACTACTACTACTACTACTACTACTACTACTACTACTACTACTACTACTACTACTACTACTACTACTACTACTACTACTACTACTACTACTACTACTACTACTACTACTACTACTACTACTACTACTACTACTACTACTACTACTACTACTACTACTACTACTACTACTACTACTACTACTACTACTACTACTACTACTACTACTACTACTACTACTACTACTACTACTACTACTACTACTACTACTACTACTACTACTACTACTACTACTACTACTACTACTACTACTACTACTACTACTACTACTACTACTACTACTACTACTACTACTACTACTACTACTACTACTACTACTACTACTACTACTACTACTACTACTACTACTACTACTACTACTACTACTACTACTACTACTACTACTACTACTACTACTACTACTACTACTACTACTACTACTACTACTACTAATAATAATAATAATAATAATAATAATAATAATAATATTACTTGTTATTGAGGAATAATCTCATTGGTCAATATACACTCTGATTCAAGCCAATAAATATTGAACTAATTATCCATTGGATTTCAAATATTGAATTATTTTTTAAAAAAAATTTAATTTTCAAAAAAAAATCAATAATTCAATTTTTTATCAACCAATCAGTGAGCAGATCATGTGCGAACATTTGACCTTGAGAGAATTTAATCCCATAAAAGAGAGTATATCAATTTAATGTTTCATATTGAATATCGACATTTTTTCTTTTTTTTAAAAAAAAATTGAAATGATTCTAGAAACATGCGGATATTTAAAATTTAAATAAAACACACGCAAAAAAGCAAACAAAAAAAACATTGTTTCTTGTTGTCAAGAGAATATACATTACATATCCATATCTATTTAATCATTATTATGTCACAAGAAGTTTGGCGTAATAAAACTGAAAGTATTAGTTCATTAGATCGTTTAGCTAGAAATACATTAACAATGGATTTACCCGAAGCAAGAAGTTGTCGTGAAGCACGTGAACAAAGTCGTAAAGAAATGCATGTATTAAATGAAAAATTAGCTTCACAACTTGAAAAGGTATCTTTTTAAAAAATTATATAATTGTTGTTTTATTACTATAAACTAGATCTTAGAGTCTTTTAATTGTATATTTTGAGTCAATTGAAGCTAGAACATCATGGAAAACCTAGAAACACTGGTTGACCATTGTTTATCCACGATCTCGCCTCGAGAAATTTGAACTCAGGACCTATCGGTCTCATGCACGAACATTAAACCACCAGACCATTAAGTTGGTCGGTATTCAACGGTGTTAATATCTAACTTCAACTAATGCATGAAATTGCGCAGCCATCTATCTGACAACAGACTCGGTTGAACTCTACTGGTTACTGCTTCGCACTAGAACTCCGGGAAATAATTTCATACACATAGTTCCCTTTATCATTTTGAAAAGAGCAAGAACAAAGATTCTAGCAGAATAGCATGAATTCATTTTATTTCGTAGGTCCTCGTCAGCTGCTTACAACCTGTGATATTTAAAATTCATAATTACATAATGGGTTTAAATTGCTAACTGAGTATTGTAAATATATACCTAATGTGAGAGAATATTCTACAATATTAATTATGACAACAGTTCAAAAGTGGATTAGAAACAATCGATTACATAATGAATAACATTGAAGGAATGTAGTGAGTAGAGTTCAATTGAAAGATAACTCTTGGAGAAAGTCACTAGTGAGCATATAATGATTATAGTGAGAGAGGGGTTTTGTGGAGATTGTAGTGATTTCAATTGTTGAGATCATGAATCAATTGAAGCTAGACCACCATAGAAAACCTGTAAGCATTGGACGACCGTTTCGTCCTATTGTGGGACTGTTGATCAGTGCGCATCCACGATCCCACCTCGCGAGATTCGGACCCAGGACCTTTCAGTCTCACAGGCGAACGCTTAACCATTAGACCACTGAGCCTATCGGCATCCAATGATGTTAATATCTAACTTCAACTAATCCATGAAATTGAGCGACACATCCATCATTGTTTTCAGTGTTTTACTATCTCACAAACGGGTCAGCAAAATTCTCACAGTAGGATGAAATGGCCATCCAGTGTTTCCAGGTTTTCCATGGTGGTTTAGCTTCAATTGACCCATGATTCCAACTAATAAAATTACTATAATATCCACAAAACTCCTTCTGAATTTAGATAAAGCGTCTTTGTGAGTTTCACATCAATATGTGATTCGTTTCTACTATGAGAACTTGGATGACAGTTTATTTCAGTTCCAAGTTAATAAACCTATTCTATGAAACTAAAAATTTGTTTTAATACTCGATTCACTCATGATACAATATAGATCCATCAATTCTATTCTGTTCAATACAGTCTGATCTTAGTTGTTTATCTAAACTCAACTAAGTACTAAAGTCATAATTTGAGGAAGGCGATTCATCTAAACAAAAAACAGTCTCTTAGTATCTTAGAAGCATAAATATGTCCGTAAGTGAACTTGATCCTAATAATCGAAGAGTGTCTAAGCTATTACTTAAGTTCTTTAATTTTACAATATTGATTCATATGAGCCTGTGTATCAAACTTGTGATCGCATGTAATAAAAAGAGACTGAATAATAAGTTTCAAGCTGTTTACCTGGAATGTTTCTGAGAGAGATAATCTCTTAGTTGATTCATTCAAAATAAGCAAACCTTTCACTTTGTTCTCGGCATTTGTGATCTATTTTTTTTATTGAGATCATGAATCAATTGATATTAGAGCATCATTAAAAGCATCAATCAATTCATGATCTCAATTAAAAACTTAATAATCTCCACAACCCTATACTGATAATTACCATGTGCTCACTAGTGACTAGCTTCGTCAGGGAATTCTCAGAGTTCTAGTGAGAAGCTGTGAACAGTGGAGCTAATCCATGTCGGGTAGAGACAGGTATTTTCCTCAGTACAAAGGAGGATGGTCGCGCAATTTCCTGAATTGTTTGGGGTTAAACATTAACATCGTTGGATACCGGCCATCTCAGTGGTCTAGAGGTTAGGGATTCACGCACGAGACTGAAGGCCCTGGGTTCGAATCTCACGGGCGGGATCATGGATGCGCACTACTGAGTAGTCCCACGATAGGACGAAACGGCCGTACAGTGCTTCCAGGTTTTCAATGGTGGTCTAACATCAATCGATTCACGATCTTAATTAAAAACTATACTGATAATTTGTGATTTAATTTGAAGTTGTTAAATGTTTAGTTAGAGGTGATTTGAACAAATATTAGTGATGCGATTGCATTCAGAATTTAAACTGATTCTAACTAGTCTTAAACTCTTTACTTTCTTGTGGATCTATCCTGATAAGAAATTTTATCATGTAAAAAAGGAGCGTTTACCTGGTGATTCTCTCAGACAATACATTTGATAAGTTGTGAGTTATATGATTTATGAATGCTACTTGTCTATGTTTACGAAATGAGTTATTTATGGGTTGTGTTCGTTATATACCAATCTCAATTGGTTACCTTTGAGAACCAGTTAACACGGGACAGCTTTTGCGCCCTAGTATAAAACTCTTCCGTATTACATACCATTAATCTCACCATAGATCAAACCCAGCATATGCCGTAAGATCTAGTAGTCCTGGATGAATGGGGTTTATAGGGAAATGAAAGCCAGTAGTTGGTTAGGTAGTTCAAGTGATGCGACTCAAGATCCATCGCAGTGTCGACTAAAACTTTGGCGTTTTTTATTAATCTATCCGCTTTTGTATATCTGGTCTCCTATGATACTTTATCATGTAAAACGAATAACTTTTGTGCAAAATTTTATATATTTGTTCAGTTTTTATGTCTGTTGAGATGTACACGCTTTTGTACTTAACTTCAGTCACATCTGTGGTTTTGCGTTCGAAAACAAATAAACCATTTAGGTGGAGTGGTTCAAAATTCAATCAGATGGCTTTCATTTGAGTCCTTTAAATCTCTATGCTAATAGATGATAATGTTTAATTGTGATGAGTTTTAAAGATATGAGCTTGACGTCAGTATGAAAAATGTAAGATTATTGATTATTTTTAGTAATGGAAAATTTCTAAGGGCATCCAGTATAACTTAATACACCCCTAAAATTATAAGCATTCATTATGTCAGTAGAAATGAACTACCTTGCAGTACTATTGTCTACGAAACTGAAAAGACGAAAAGAGAATGTCCGATGCTTTAACTGGCTTGGTGGATATGGAAGATCCACATAAGGGAGATGGAAAATCCTCATTCCAAACAAGTAGTGTAATGAACTTTAGTATCCTGAAGGAACAAATGGCATATGAATCAATCGTCTGTCATCGGTTACATGGGACTGCATCTTCTGACGTTGTTCCACTGCCTTGTGTATCACACCTTTATATTGAAGGCTGTGGGTGTGGTCCTTATGAAAACCACCTGTTTCGGTCTGGGCACCTGGGCAGTATCACAGCCCATACACAAATCAAGTGACTTGTGTGGCGCATATATATTCGGTTCCTATTTGTACATATATTTATATGTCCAAATAAATAAATAAAGTAAATACTCTTATTATTTGTTTAAGCTATGAGAACATGATAAACATAACTGTACCATTATTTCTTCTATTGGGCATATTAGTGAAATTTCATTAATATTCACTGTTTGCATTGAAAATTCTCACGGTTTGTTTCAGCTATCCATATTGGGATAACAATAGGATTCTTGTTATAAACTATTGAGTGTAAAGATCTCAATATCTTATTTCTAAATGAAAAGTGTCATAATTTAATGAAGTATGTTAATAAAGTATATCTGTAGTGTCATTTGATATGTTAAGCACACATATCTAATTCTAGCTTCTGGACAGGCAAACTTATCATTCTTCTTGAGTCACGTTTTGACCTTGTTAATTACTCACTTATCAACCATGTGTTGGGGACGTTAGATCCCCAAAACTCACTTGAAAAACGTCCTAATTTTGTCATTTTAATTTGAAAATTTGAATTTCTTTGTTTTCGCGCCAAAAGCGCTCTTTTCACCTTCATGTCGTATTTCCCACTCATAAGAATCTTAAACGCTATTGGTCCGTCATGTCTTTAAGTATGCTATTTTGTAATCCTTCCCAAAGACGATTTTGTGCTGTATATATATGCTTTGATTTGTGTCTGCTGTTATGGCTCGCTCATGATTCTGGCTTTCTGCGGAATATATTTCCCAGTTCGGACTTCGACTTTTCTCTCTCTAATTAGCGGGTTCGGGACGCAACAGAATAGCTATTTTATTGGTTTTTTGTTCACAAGTCTTTGTTCCGTTCGTAGACTAAGTGAACTCGTAACCGCTTTAAACCTAGTACCCTGACTTTTTATATGAGCGTATATGTGTGTACACTTCTTATCCCATTCATCAAATGTCTCTAACTTATTATTGTGGGACTATAAATATTGATTAACGCTTGATTAAATCGAGTAGACTCATTTGCCTTCTCCAATGCGCGTCATT